TTAGCACTTAATTAAAAGAACCTGGTTTTGAAGACGTTATCCACTTTGTAAACAAAAGTTAAATTTGTCAGAAAATGATTACTTATCTCGAAAACTCTTCTCTCCTCATAGCCTAATTCACTGTCAAGAAGTAACTTCACAATCACTTGAAAAGTCGAGGTATGATATAGCACATCTACTGCGTACGCTGCCCAGAAATATAAAAGTAAAGCAAATACTAGTCATTAAAACTACATTTATTATATTTCCTAAACCAAAAAAACTTCTCCGTTCAAGCACTACAAGCAAGCAAAATAAGAACTGTAATAAAGGAAAAACTGTAGAGAGTGAAGAAAATTAAGATTTAAGAACCAATCGCTGAGCTCTGTCCGTGTTATCCTATTGTGAAAAACGTGGTCACTGCAACAATGAGTAAGAAATCCTAAGTCAAACTTATCACTTCAAGGAACTACAGACGCACAAGAATCTCCTTACTTGTTTCAGGGTTCAAGCGACTTTTAAAACTTCGTCGAGTTCGATCACATCTCACTCATAATGCGAGCTGGGCAGATTGCACAGTCCCTTCAATTTGCTCTAAAAATTGAAGTTCCGGGGAAGAAAAAGAAGACTTGTTTCAAGGAAAAAATGGAATCTCCTTCAAAAAAAAAGAAAAACAAAAAAACGAAACAAAACAAGTTTTAACCAAAAAAGAAAATATTATTCCTCCTCATTCATTCTTTGTTATTTTCAAAAACAGATACTGAAACCGGGAGGTTCTTTCCAACTAATTTTGTAAACACTGCTAGACCCATTCCTTTTCAATAAACCTTGTCACTGTTTTTCTACATTTTTCTACATCAGTTTTTAACCTGTTGGCTACTGAAAAACACAGCAGATAGTGTGCGAATAAAGGGTGATCGGCAGGCCACTTTACCACGCGAACACAACGCTAGACAAAGGCTTGCTAACTCCACAACAAGTCAAACACACAACTTAAATCCTCGCGAAACGCAGCATTTTTCCTCACTGAGCTCGCCAGCTGTTTCACTAACTCATATTCTACCAACCTCGCAGCAAAAAAGTAAGGGAAAGCAATACCCGTTCAACTTAAAACGATTTAAAATGTGCAAGACTCCTGCATAACAGCAAAAAAAAATTTACCTTAAATACGTAAGCAAAAAAACCATATAACATAATACTAAGCATTAACACTAGAAACTCGGCCCCATTTTCTGCAAAATGTGACCAGGAGATGGGCGTGCGCCCTACTTGACTGACTGTGCGCTTTTTTTTTCAGCGTTATTTTTACCCCTTTTAAAAAGAGTAAAATGCATTTCTTACCCTTAATTCCACACAAAGTTTCTTTTCGCACAGACGTCTCTAATTTGCAAACACAGTGCATTGAACAGAAAGTTTTTTTGTGAACTTACACCTCATTACCAGACTTCTGAGCTACCTCAGGTGCTTATATGGAACCTTCACCTGCATAGCCCAGACCTGGTGTAAAAGCAGTTCTTGCGAAATAGCAGCACCAGTGCTAGTCTGACAAAAACTAACAGTGACTCAAAAACCTTTATTTGTTGCAATAAACCAAGCCGACAATAGGCAAAAATACAAAAGTGTTTTAACAAAACCAAAGCTTCTGCCTTGTAGACAGGTTTCTAGGAAAAGGGATCAATAATGTCAAATCAAAATACTTTCAGCTAATAATTTAAAAAAGCGAGCAGACAAAAAACAAAAAACTTCCAAAAAAACCACTCCACCCAGTTATTTAAAAAAAAAAACCAAATAAAAAATAGCAAAAATGCACTTCTTTCATGCTTCCCTCCACCTCCGACTTAAAACACGTCTATCAACTGAAGCACAAAAGTTAAAAAATCATTCGTTCTCCCCTTTGTGCTCCTCAACAGCAATAACATACATGCATAGCAAATTACAATTGTTACTGCGCCTTCATTCACTTGATAAGTATTAACAGGTCAATTATGAGAAAACCATAATTCAGGTTTATAATCATATACATCATTGAAAAAAAAAGCTATCTTTTCCAGTAAGGCAAGGTTCAGCAGAAAACATTTAGGCAGTCATAAGAACATTTAATGAAAAAAAAAAAGGAAAATAGAGCATAAAGCAATCTTCAAGTTTCCTAACTTTTGCCTAATTCCTTTCAAAAATTTGTACAATTTATATAAAGCTATCAGTAAACTAGAAGCCAAAAGTGCTAGATTGCAGCCCTACAATCTTACTTCAAAACCTTGACAATTATTCCCAACTGTTCCCAACCAATTTTGAAATAAACGGTGTGGAAGATCGTATCTCTGCAAAAATAAGAATGCTCTTCGTTCTCTAAATGGTCACAAATTATTACCAACGCACACAAATTGCAAGCCATATATCTGTATGAACAAGAATATCAACTTGCGTGCTTTATTCACAAGTGTGTAAAAACTTATCCAATGAAAAAACACAATAACTATAGGTAAACCCACACGAGCACAAACCCTAGAGATAACATTATCAAATTCGGCAATCTCCTATTTCGATGGCTATCTTCCCTACTAATTGTAACGAAATACCACCAAATTTATAACGGTTAGCATTTATTTACTTGAGGGGACGGAAATGAGATCAACAAGCCGGAAGAGTTTCGAAAATTCTACCAAAAATAAGGAAAAGTTAATAGCCTAGTCAACAAAAGACAAAAAAATACAAACTACTGTTCATCTTAGGGCCTACAACAGTCATTTATCATTAATAACATATAAAAAGAAAAATTTGAATTCCTCGGTAACCATTGACTTCAATTCGAAAAAATTCCCCTAAATTATATCAACAACTGCTTTCTAACCTATAATTCTCAAAAAAATGTGTCCACAAAATGAAAAAAAAAGCGATAGTATCTTTCTATATTCTAATAAGCTAAACGAATGAAAATACCAAAAGTTTACAGAACAGCAGCATTTACATTAAGGATATCTGAACTGACACAAAATTTTGACTGTTACGCTACTCACTAGTGACAGAAACTTGCTAAACTCTGCTTAAAGGCAAAAGTAAAAGAATCCAATACTAAATAGATGTTTAAAAATTTCGAAAGATGATCTAGTGCTCTGTAAAACAGCCCAAAAACGGTACGCCGAAATTCACAAAGCTCAAAATGAAGGAAAGCAACTGAGGTAAAAACATAAAGAAAGAATGGATTTGGATGCTGCTGAAATATCTGGAAAAAGAAACTGAACGAACCACGAAGAGTACCCAAAATGCAAAAAACTGTCAACCTTACGACGAAAGCAGTGCATATGACTTGTATCAAACGAAATGAGAGAAGAAAGTTTAATCACACTATTTGCGAGTTGATTTGAAACCAGCGATTAACCTACCATAATAATGAAAATAAAAAATAACCTCTGCAAAGAAATGCTTATGGTCCGCTCTTTTAAGTGTCGTTCTCATCCTCTTCCTTCAAAACCTCCAGTTCACCGTAATTCTCGGTTTTCATATCGTTTAAACCCAACTCATCATCCTGCTCATAATTCCGTTTATAAAATTCCTTTTCCAGTCTTGGGTCATCAAAAGGGGCTGTCAAGCTCTAAAAAGGATAGTACTTTAAAATCATAAAAATATAAAATGCAGAAAGAAAAACATGATTTCCCCAGTATTATAAGAATACCTGGATATAACTGTTTCCCGCAGGATCGTCAAGCACAACATGTGCTGGACTTTTTAAGCTTAGAACATCTTCGAACCTATTGAAAAAATTATTCATCCTTTGTGTCTCTTCAACGGTAGCACTGTCACCAAAAAAGAAACAACTACTTTTCTGAAAAGTTCGAGATAACTTTAAAAGAACGATGAAAAAAAAAACAGAATAAAACCAATTACGATGAAAAATCATCATTTAAAGATGCGTCTGCAGCCTGCGGACAATTAATTCTTGTTTCTAGAAATTGGTAGGTACTTTAAGACCCTTATCAAGAAAGCATACACCTCACCTTAAGCTGGTCTCTTGTAGCTAGCAAAAGTCCTTCAATTGTCGTAAACCTTGCCGAGAGTGCTGCAGGCCCCACCTCTAAGTCCAACTCTGGCACTTTTACACGACATGAGTCGGACTTCAAGACATCCCGAGCAAGATCGACATCCTAATAGGAAACGCAGAATGAAAAGATGGAAGAGAAAGTAAATTAATGTTGGAGAAAAAAAGAAGAATACAGACATTAAGATCAAAAGCGGAAAAAGCCGTATTTCGTTTTCTGTTTTCCTATAAACTTTCTGAATAGGTATAATATTTAAAAGTGCCATGCTAGTATAGGTTCAAAAAAGACATTGCTCGCTCTATAAAAAAAGGAAAACCAAGGAATGGAACATGACCAAACATACGGCAACTTTAAAATTCATCTCCTATGCAGAGGAATGATTACCAATGAAACTAAATTTTTTTCAAACTTCTGAGTAGGAATAATTTAATCGGCAATAGACTTCTAAAAATTCTGGTTTTCATTTAAAGATTCTACTACAACTATGAAATCAGAAGACTAAAAGCAGTAACTTTTTCGACAAAAACAGTCAGTCGACAGCCAAAATTTCTTATTGCACTACCACTCTTTACTTCGTTCGTACGCAGTCCACAGACATCGCATGTTGTCGACATAATGATAACAGTGGAGAAATACGGTATGTCTTTAAAAAAATATACTAAGAACTATAACTAAATTCAGAACGAAAGTATTTCAAAGCCATAATTTGAAAAAATACAAATTTAGTCTATTGTGCATTTAGAAATACATTGCAACCTGTAGGCTTCATGCATGTTTCTGTAGGCGCTCCACAGTTTGGACAATCCGTTGGGAACCGCAAAACCTCCTGCTTTGCATCTTCAAAAGACTTCCACTCTGGTGCTGGATTCTCCTCCTTGAAAACGACAGCATTAAAAACAATACCCAGTGACAATTTATCAGAAAAAGAAGTAGCTAAAAAAAGTTTATATTAACTATTTGCTCATCGTCTACAAGGCCGAGCATTTTATTTTCCAACAACGTTCTGGTGTAATGAACAGTTATGCAACGTGGATCAACGTGAAATGGATCTGGATTTTGGATGAAACAGTTGCCACTAGCATCTTTCAGCTTCTGTAATGTGCTTATCACGGTTTTGGGAAAAAAATCTCAAGAAGGTCAAACAAATAATACATAATACCAAAAAAAGACCTAAACCAATGAGATCAAATAGTTATTAATAAAAAAATTAGATTACTAGAGTAAACTGCTGCTTCAGAGCCAACAAATTATCCAATTTTTGTAAAAATTTTTCAATTTTTTCCGCATTTTCTGCATCTGTCGACCTTCTCCTCTCCTGGTCTTGCAGCAAACCGTTTTTTGTCCTTTGAAGAACACCTTCTACTGTTGTGATTTCTGCAGAATGACAGCTTATAATAGTTCACTACACATATTTAACATGAAGTAAAAGGAAAGAAAAAGACTGCATAAGTTTACTAGATTTTTTATCAACTTATCAAAGATAAACGTTCGCTTGAGAGCTACAACTCTACTGTAACTTGAACCTTAAATCATAACCTCCTGGCTGGGAAAGGCAAGGTATAACAAGTTCTAATTCTGGTATATCAATTTCAGCGTACTCGGATTTCACAAGTTGTCTATTTAAATCAACCGGTTCTTTTACAGAAAGTACGATTTCAGTACCATATTCCTAAGGAAATACTACACCTGCACCGTAAAGAAAAAACAGAATTGACGTTTAAATTTCTTTGAAATAAAAAACAGAGGATTTGCTGCTGCAGTCACAAAAAAAGATTAAATGTGCTAGCAGAGAACAGTAATTTTTAGCACGTCACTTCTAGACACTATTTCACAAGATTCTTACAACAGACTTGTAAACCCACTGCGAAAATGACAAAAAAATATTTGTTTAATTACTTGTACAGCTTCGGCACTCTGTAGTTCATTATTTCTGCACCCACAATGTTCACAGCTAAATGACATTACAATTACTTGCCGATAGTACGGTATTCGAACACAGATAAGTTTTGTGATACCCTAAAAGAGCATAACGCAGTGACGGCGGTTTCCTTTTACAAGGCTTTTTAGCAAGCTAAGTAGAATTCAAAAAATAAAGAAGAGTAAAAAAAAAGATTTGTACTGTTCACGCGTGAGAAAAACGTACATTTTCGTGACAATCTGGACACACCGATTCAACCTCATATGGTTGATGAATTTGTTCAGATGCCTTGTCCAGGAAAATTGAATTATCTCTACTGTCCGTACCCAACATCATCTTCAATAAATCACGTTTAAAACGACTGAATTCAGAAGTGTTTCATCTAAACAAATCCCAGATTTGTGCATTCTTTGCCTCTGTGTAAAAATTATTTTTACGTTTGTAGCTTTAGTTTTCTGAACCTCAAGCTCGAGCAAGTAAGAAGCACGTCAAGGCAAAAAAACAAAACTTAAAATAAAGTTCAAAAAATTCATTTTTTTTCCCTTCCGATTAACACCAGATGGGGGAGTACTTAGCCAGTGCGAATTCTCTAAAGGTGGCGAACCTGCCGGGAAGGAAGGCCTAGATCGGTTTGTGTTTGTATCTGCATTCGTGACAGAAAAAAGTTGCAGCTTTTTTAAAGATAACCAGAGCGTTTTCTACAGCTTCTGAACCCGATGCGCAACTTTCAGCTTCGGTACTTTGTAAAGAGCATATCTACGAAAGTAATGAAAGACAAAACGATTATTTTGAAAAAAATTAAAAAGTTGCGTCCTCAAATACAAAGTTCTGATGTTTTGTTTTTACTTCAGCATTTCATGTATTTTGTTAAATACAAACATTTCAGCAATTTTCTGAGTCTTCAGAAGACAGATGGAAAGAACTTCAAAACCCGTTCTGAAGAAGCATAACCAAGGCTTTTAAAAAGAACACGATAAAAAAAAACTCTATTCGTTCGAATATAAGTATGCGATAGGAATCTCCAGTCCCATTCTTAGTTTTGTACTGCCTTTTTTGCCTTCTTATCTTAGTCTACCAAACTGATGCAATTTGCTGTTATGAGAACTAGCCCAAGCACAATTTGAAAGTTTTTGTTGAAATTCGTACTACATGGAAGCCATTCAGTTATATTTAACGCTGCAATAGCAGGATTATTTTCAACAGATCAAAAATCAGCTTTTCATATAACTCCACAAAGGTAAAAAACGTAGTCACAATCAATTACACCACGTTCCACTTATAGAGAAGTCTCGTAAAAGCCATAAGGATTGAGGACGACAGAAAGCTAGCAAGAAGTAGGCAAATATAAAGTAACGTTAACTCAGAAGACTTAGAGAGGGCAAAGAAACCCGACGCAAAAAATGAGACTAGTTGGTGACTAAAAACTGCATGCTTGGAAGTGAGCATGTTCAACTACATTAGCATCCTACAATTAAAAAAAAACTACAGGTGAAGCCAAAAAAACGCCGCTGGAAGATTGATGCGATCCACTCGCCCAACCCAGTAAACCAGAGAACTCAGAAAACTTTCGACTAGGAGACTTGATTTTTAATTTCTAATTAAGAATTTTGAGGAGTAAAATGTCTTATCCTGGAAAAATTCCAGTAACTCTGGCGCAACGCCATCGTGTTATGCGGAGGCATCTCCTTTAAAAGTGCCTTAATTTAAACTTAAGCCAGCACTTTTCTCGGCTGCAGGGCGCTCAGATTACAGTAATCCTGATCCCGCCGTAAAAATTTCTTAATTTCAACAGAAGTAACACGAACAGTAAAAATAGCACCATGGAGCAGTCATCCTGCCCCAAATGCAAAGGAATTATATATACAATACGACGTTTACTGAGGTGTTAGTGGAAGACAAAGTTCAATTAACTCCCAAAACTTTCATCAAGAAATACCATTTTAAATTTCGCTTTTAATAAACTGCTGAGTCCTCCTGACTTGCGCAACAATAAAGAATACCTGTGCTTCTCATTAAAGGAGTTCCCGTATGTCTCCCAACCGCTGCCATATTTCCTCAAACATTTATTAAAAAGTCTCTTTAAAAAATAAACTCAAGCCACTACGCAGAAGAACCACTATCCCTCATGAACTTTTCAGTTCTCCTTCAGAAGAATTGCATTTCGACGATACCGTGCAGGAATTATACGAACAATACCTCATTACTCTTAATAATGTTTATAAATGTATATGAGCAGGCCAATAAAAAGACTCATTTCAGCCTAGTCTAACAGACCAGTTAAAATTAACGAACTAATCAAAAGAATGGGGACTAATCAAAAGAATGGAACTTAAAACTCCGTTGTTAACACTACTGTGTTTAATTGGATGCCCACCAACGCGCCAGTAGCGCTGCAATAGACCGTTGGAGAGAATTAAAGCGTCTTTGCAGTTTGGTGTACTGTGATTTTGTTTAGAATGCAACTTCTCGTTGCCAGCCGTGTATTCGCATGCGCGATGGCAGTGGAGGAATATGGATATCCTCTTCGTATGTGATGCCTAGTGTCGTAGTTTAGCAGGTGCCGTGCGTCATGTGCTAAACTTGGGATCTTTGTCTTTGTTGTTTTGGCATCTGCTTGTTTTGTTTCTTTGGTAATATGGCCTCGCCCACGTGCTTGTCTTTTTTTCTTTTAGGAAGCAACAGGCGTTAAATTTATGAGAACCCAGCTAAATCTAACTTTCTAAACTGAAATAATCTCACCCATTGACAGTGTTTCTGTAAGGGCTTTAAGCGCGTCACTATATAAATATGAAATTTTCTCACCGAAACAGTTTTGGTGACCCTGGGACTCTGTTGAGAAATCTTTGTATTTTATTCTTGTCTTTTCAAATACTCGTGGTATATAAGTACACACAAAGCACGGTTTTGTTGGAAACTTAAATATTTTTTCTTTCTTTCTTTCTTTATTTTTTTTTTCTCTTTTTTGCTTGCTTAGTTGGAAAGTGAAACTGTTATTGATGGAAGGTTACATTTTAGGTTCCTTCTGGATTTTTTAGAATTTCTTATCAAGTATAATTTAAAGAGATGAATGTTGCGGAAAACAGAAGAAAATAATTTTTAGAGCTTACTGGATGTATTCTGTAAGCGCACTGACCAGCTACGAAACTTTGGTTTTTCGATATTTTTTAAAATCTACATATTTTTTGAAAACTAGAAATCTCTGAAGAACTTAAGAAAAGTATTATATGTAGTGGGCTGTCTACAAAGTACTTTTGCTATTCCTTTTTTTTTTTTTAAGGCTTGTTTTTGGACACAGTGCAATACAGTAAGTACTTTTTAAATTCAAAGGTTTCTTAAGAGCTAAAGTATCTGGCTTTTTCAGCTCGAGAGTGATGTTGGTTCTGTGGAACCATCTGAGCACAAGTCTATGTTTGGTTGTAAAGTCTATTTTTATTTTTTTCAAGGATGTTCAGACGAGAAAGGAGTCAGTTTTTTAGTGTTGTTTTCTCGTAACTACAGTTTTTATTTTTACTGAAAAGTCAATATCATTCGTTTTAGTTGCTTAATATATTTACGTAATGGTCAGGCTCCATTAAGTTTATTTTGCACCCTGTTTAGGTTTAGATTTAAATTTCTTTAGTTCTGAAGGCTCACGAACAGTCATTTCGATGTCACTTTTTTGATTTATCATTATTCTTTTTTAGCTGTGTGTAACAATTTGCCGCGACTGCGCAGAATCATTTCACCTGAGTTTTGAATATACGTTGTAGTTTTTTATCATTTCAAGTCTGTTTATCCATAATACTAATTTTTTTGGACTTCCGGATTGCTGTTTGAAGGCATTTAAAAGTTTGGCTTCTTCTTTGCTAGGTGTTCGATATCACTGATATTTTTAAAACATGTGACAAACATTTTAAATTGCGGGTTTTAGGAAATCGACTTGTACCTCCACTAATTTCACTTCAGCATGGAACATATCCAGGCGTTAACTGATCCTTGCAGACAGTTCACCAAGGACTCAATTCGTCTTGTTAAAAGATGCACAAAACCGGATAGGAAAGGTTTTTTCTTAGTGCCTCTTAATTTTCATA